CAAAAGCTGACGCACTTAGATGGGTATGCATGACCTAATGACAGTTAAAACAGATAATAACAAGAATACATAAAAGCATAAGGAAACGCGAACTATGCAGTACGAAAAATGACAATGAAGATGGCACAACGCCGAAACTGGTTTGTCTCCACACCAAATTTGACAAGGGATGACGGAAAATCGTTCCACAATACATCAAATTTATATTTCTTTGCTTAAACACACAAATCTATATACTATAATACGCGAAGGCATTTTTTGTTCAGGATAAAAGATCCGCGCCGTTCGCTCGATTTTCAAAAATGGGGTAAAAAATTAAAGTGCTTGACCGGTAGATGTGCAAACTGGTTTCATTTTTTGGATAGGTGTTGCCACCTGTTGAACAATTATCCGCACCGTTCGTTCGATTTTCTTAATTTGGGCTTGGGCTGTATGTGCAATAACGTTTTACATTTTCGGAAAGAGTTGCCACCTTTTAAAAATTGATATTCAAATTATTATAAAAAAATCAATTATTACAAAATGGGTATCAACCGAAATGGGTTTGAAAAGCTTTGTTTCTTAGCTGAACTGTAGAAGGGTTGCCACCTCCTTTATTATTATTATTATATGGGTACCAAATAAAAGGGGTTTCAGAAAGTAGAAGGTTAAAGATATTTTGAAGGGGTTGCCACCTGCTTGATATGTCGAATTTAGTTTACTTATACACAAGTTATATGAAACATCAAAATATGGATGTGAAACGAAGTAGTATTAAAAAATCTTTAGCTTGAACGCTAAGAATATTTTTCAAGTGTTGAAAGAGGGTTGCCACCTGTTTAAAAAGTTATATTCAAACTATTTAATAAGTTGAATGAATTATTAAAATATGGGTATCAGTCAAAAGTTGAAAAACTTTTATTTCTGAACTGTACTGAACTGAAGAGCGTTTCCACCTGTTTAAAAAGTTATATTAAAATTATTTAGTAAGTTAGACGGATTACTAAAAGATGGACACCAATTGAAATGGGTTTGAAAAGCTTAATTTCTGTCAATTGAAATAGGTGTCACAATGTTAGATTTAAACATATTTTAGTTTGGAAATGTCTTTTATATAGTCGAATTTGGTTAACTTTAACGCAAGTTTTATGAAATATTAAAATATGAGTGTCAATCAAAAGAGATTTATTAAAACTTTAGTATAAAAATATCTTTGATTGGGCTTGCCACCTTTTCGAAAAGTCGTACCGATCTCTCTAAGTGCAGTTAGATTTGCACCATCCTTAATATGAGAGGTGGAGTAAAGACCTTGGCCTGTTTGTTTGAAGTTAGATCTTTTTTATCGGTACAGAGTAATTTGAAACTTGATGACATTAAAAACCGACACTATGCGAGACCTCTCTTAACCCAGAAATTGCTGCACGGATTTAGATGAAATATGACACTTTGATCGCTTATAAATCTGACTTTAATTTGGAGTAGTTTCTATGTTTTTGAATTAAAATTTTGGGCGTTTTAACGCCATGCGGGTTCACTAGTTTATTTTTATTTCTAGTATTCGCACTTAAGAAAGACTACAAAACAAGTTTGTTAGCATATTTTAATTATGAGTAATAATATCCCGGGATTACCAATTTAGCTTCCCGAAATCCCGGGGTTCACAAAATGGTTTGGGATTGGATGCCTTAGTTGCCACCCACGTTTCAAAACATTTTTTTAACATCAATAAAAAACTGGGTAAAGCTTCTATTGAAGAGGGAACTAACCAGGATAAGTAACGGGTGATTTTTTTGAGGTTAGGATTTTCATGCATTAGTATTTGACAGATCACGTGGGATTTCAGACATGGTGTCAAAGAGAAAGATGCTCAGTATGCTTTGACATTTCATCATGAATAGACTTACTAACGAGCAACGCTTGCAAATCATTGAATTTTATTACCAAAATCAGTGTTCGGTTCGCTTTACGTCCGATTTATGGTCTACATAATCGACCAAGTGAGCAAACAATTAATGCGATTGTGACCAAGTTTCGCACTCAGTTTACTTTATTGGACATTAAACCAACCACACGAATGCGTACAGTGCGTACAGAAGAGAATATTGCGTCTGTTTCTGAGAGTGTTGCTGAAGACCGTGAAATGTCGATTCGTCGCCGTTCGCAGCAATTGGGTTTGCGAAACACATTTCGAACCGAACACTGATTTTGGTAATAAAATTCAATGATTTGCAAGCGTTGCTCGTTAGTAAGTCTATTCATGATGAAATGTCAAAGCATACTGAGCATCTTTCTCTTTGACACCATGTCTGAAATCCCACGTGATCTGTCAAATACTAATGCATGAAAATCCTAACCTCAAAAAAATCACCCGTTATTTGGCAATGCTTTGAGGAAATCGCCAATGGCTCGGATGCTGATGTGGATAAGCAAACGATGTGCACACAAGGCAGTGACCGTACAAGAAAAAAGACAGCGATTTAAAAATAGAGAAGACAAGAATATCCTTTAAGAAATTAAAACAACACGGTCACGGCAGAAAGAGAGGGAGCTTCGGTGGAGCCACTCCGACTACTTCGATTTAAGGGCTAACTGAAGTCTGCAGCGTCTGTTCACCCGCTGCTGTAAGCGGGTGTCTGTTTGAAGCAAGCGGCTCGCTTTATAAACGTGTAGGTATTTGGTTGCGAAACCATCCCCGTCCCAGCAATGGACCTTTGCTGGGTTTGGGACCCGACACGTATAAAACGCTTCCCTTATGATGACGACCACGGCAAACGTTTAAAGGACTACGATTTGAGGGCATGCACCTGGAATGTCCGGACCTTTAATGGGGAAGGTGCATCTGCCCGGCTGGTTGATGTCCTCGTAAGGACAAAAGCTGACATCACCACCATCCAAGAAATGCGTTGGACGGGGCAAGGCAAGCAATGTCTGGGGCCTTGCGACATCTACTACAGCTGCCATGTAAACGAGCGCAAATTCGGAGTTGGGTTTGTGGTGGGAGAGAGACTCCGTCGCCGAGTACTGTCGTCGGCAACATCTCGCTCACCTGCGCCCACTCCGAGCCTAAACATCGACTCGAAATACTATCTTGTTGCAGCCAATATAGGCATCCGCCTCTGTGCAGAAAAAATAAGCGCCCAAATATGCAAAGAAAGCTTAACGTCGAAAAGCTGCAATCACAAAAGACAGCCATTGCTTTCGTAACTCGACTCTCACATTTGCTCTCAGAGAGCACTCTTCAACAAACCGACATATGCGAGCAGCGGAACCACATTTCGAGCTCATTATGTACCGCCACCGAAGAAGTAGGCGGATTTCAACAAGCTCGAAAGAACAACTGGTACGATGAGGAGTGTCAAGTAGCTACAGAAGATTCCGCCTACAGGACAACGCTGCGGTCGCTACATTATGTTCATGTCGTTGTAAAGCTCATACAGCTCATCGTTCCATCGTCTGCGGTACTCGCCGTCGCCAACGCGTAAACGCCCGTAAATCTTCCGCAAAATCTTTCTCTCGAATACTCTTCGACTTTCGACCGAAATCGACTTTTTACTCCTCAAATTCGAATTTAAGTGATCGACTTTCAGTTTATGGAAGTCGACTGAAGTCAACTTTTCACCTTCTACTCTCGACTTTTTTTTATTTATTTGCAGTGACGTCTCTTAAATTAAAACTGATATTCTAACAAGAGATCGGAGTGCTCGTATTTAAAAAAAAATTGCCAATAAACTTAATGGGATAAGTGTGGTAGAGATATGAATTTTAATGACAGTACAAAAACATTGTTAAATCATTTAAGAGCAGTGCATAAATTTATTACGCAGCATTTTTACTGGATTTAAAATGCAACATTTAGCACTTTCGAACATGTATTTTCGAACAGCGTTCATGCTATCGCATTTAGCAAATGTACATCTACGCGAGTTCGAAATCGTATGCTTCAGACAAACAGCCGTGTTCCAGTCGCTTATTCAGATCCGTATCTATCACGATCAATTCGCACAGAGAAGATAATATGCAAAAAATCCTGCTGAAAAGGGAAAAGGAAATTTTAAACAAAAATTCAATACAAAAACTTAAATTGTTTTAACAATAACCAAAAATTCGCTTGTGTATATATCCGTTTGTCGGTGCTGTCAATTGAAATTTCCTCAATTAAATAGGAAAAAGCGAACAGAGTTAATCACAAATTGAGCCACATTTCTATCAGTATCACATCGATGTTGAATTTGCGCAACTCTCCTTTTTCCAAATAATCTAAAATAAATGAAATCTCGATCGGCGATCACTGAAACGCAGCTAGCAACTGTATACGCGAAAAATTAATGTTGCCAATTTTTCTCATTAAACCATGTTCGAATCGTGGAAAATTTTGAAGATCACAGGGTTGCTTTTAGCATTTAGACTCACCGCCCTATTCCCACAACACTGAAGATCACAGGGTTGCTTTTAGCATTTTGACTCATCGCCCCATTCCCACAATACTGACAAAATTCATTGTATGACTACTGTCACAATTATTGCGCCTAAAACAGTATAAATATTGAGGTTGTTTCGCCGTTGTCGCGTACTCAGTAGGTCATAACAACAACACTGACAATTGTCACCACACGAGAGTTTAAAATAAATTTGCGGCATAGTATTAGGCGCAGCAGTAAAGGCAATAGTCAGCCGTTGAGTTTTGTCAGTGTTGTGGGAATAGAGCGGTCAAATGCATAAATTGAGTTGCATTTAGGAATTTTTTATGGATACATGTATGTACATTTAGATTAGCATTTAGAGCTAAATGTGCTTTTACGCGTAAACAAAAACAGCCCATTATACACAACGAATTCCTCGAATTTGTTAATCTATTGTCTCCACAATCTTCAGTTAATATTAAGGTAAGATATACATAGGTATTTATTTTAATAATGTCATGCAAGAAAGTATTTCCCCATGAGTTTGTTTAACTTTCCAAGAACAGTCTTTGGTTCGAATTTGACCAATCCGTAAGGTATAAAATTTTTAACACTGATCAAATGTTTCTGGTAGAATTCCAGTTGATATGCGACATTAGTGGTGTGGATAATCCCTATCCACTAGCTGTCTGGGATACTTTAGAGGAAGATGTTTATAAAGTGGCACTTAAATTTCTACCAATACTCGCCACCTCTGTTCCATCGGAAAGGCAATATTTTCAAAAAGTTGTCCGTAATTACCAAATATCAAGGAATTCTCAGATTTTTTTGGTGAAAATTTAGAGATTTTTAAATTATTTTTCAAAAATACATATGAATTTTTAAAAACCCTCACAACCAACATTTTCATGCTGTATAACTGGAACAACTTAAGAAATTTTGAAAAATCCTTAGTCTCTGTTTGTTTTTTTACCTAGCATTGAATTTCACTAAATTACATATTATTACCACTAGTAAATCATGATATTTTTGGCGTATTCTGATCCTTATATTTATATCTAATATATGAGTTAAATGCATAGTATACTGAAAACATTTTTTTTATTAAAAAGCCGAAAAAGTAACTTTTCTTCCGATTGGTCGACTTTTAAAGTCTACTGTACAGAGTCGATCGAAATGTCGAAAGTCGACGTTCTAGTAATGTCGAACAACCCTACGCATCGGCTGTTGTCATTGTCCATGCTTCTGCGTCATATACCAGCACGAGCAGGATGAGTGACTTATAGAGTATGGTCTTCGTACGTCCAGAGAGGACTTTACTCCTGAATTGCGTACTCAGTCCAAAGTAGCACTTGTTGGCAAGAGTGATTCTGCGTTGAATTTCCTTGCTGACATTACTATCGGTGTTATTGCTGGTTCCCAAGTAAACGAAATTCTCTACTTTTTCGAAATTATAACTGTCAATTGTGACGTGGGTGCCAAGGCGCGAATGTGCTGACTGTTTGCTTGATGGCAGGAGATACTTCGTCTTGTCCGTCCTCGTTTACCACCAGATCCATTCGCTTTGCTTCCTTATCCAACTTGGAAAAGGCAGAACAGACTTCGCGGTTTTTGTTACCGATGATATCGTTGTCATCGGCATAAGCCAGCAATTGCACGCTCTTGTAGTAAATTGTTCCTGAGCGGTTCAGTTCTGCAGCTCTTGTTATCTTCTCCAACATCAGATTAAAGAAGTCACATGAAAGGGAGTCACCTTGTCTGAAACCCCATTTGGTGGCGAACGGCTCGGAGAGGTCTTTCCCAATTCTGACGGAGCTGGTGTTATTGCTGATCGTCATTTTATACAGCCGTATGAGTTTTGAGGGAATGCCGAATTCAGACCTAGCGGCGTATAGGCAACTCCTTTTAGTGCTGTCGAAAGCGGCTTTAAAGTCGACCAATAGGTGGTGAGTGTAGATCCTTTTCTCGCGGGTCTTTTCCAAGATTTGGCGTATTGTGAATACCTGGTCTATGGTGGATTTCCCAGGTCTAAAGCCACACTGATACAGCCCAATCAGTTCATTGACGGTGGGCTTCAGTCTTTCATACAATACGCTCGATAAGACCTTGTAACCTATGCTTAGAAGGCTGATCCTGCGATAGTTGGCGCGAATGGCGGGGTCGCCTTTCTTGTGGATTGGGCAGAGCACACTTAAATTCCACTCGTCGGGCATACGTTCATCTGACCATATTCTGCATAAGAGTTGATGCATGCACCTTATCAACTCCTCGCCGCCGTCAGCTCCAGCATTTATCATGAAAACAATTGTCACTACCGCTTCAATTCCATAAGAAATTCCATTGAAAATGTAACAAATTATCATTGTCGGGTCTTAAACTTTTCATTGACAAAATTGTCGCGAGTCATAAAAATTTTTATGTAATTCATATGTAATAATTGCATTTGCATTATTTTAGTTTTAAGAAATATTCAAATTGTTGAAAACGAATGAAATGTACGCAATTACCATATAAAAAAATTTACAAAATTCTCATGTGAAAACATTCCGAAGGAGCTATTAAGTTTTGTCGCTATTGTCGTGCCCATTTTGTCAGAGGGACAATTGTCAGCACCATTGTTGACAATATTCCAGTATTGTCACTGTCGCTTTCTAAAAAATTCACAGTTACCTACAAGCGTATATGAAACAGAAAAAACTTCGCCGACAATTCTGGATCTGAAATTTTATAGAAAAATCGACAATTGGCGTACCTGTCACCTTTATGAAATAGGCCCCTGGTAAAATTTTCGGGCATTTATCCTGTCGGCCAGCATTTCAAGCTCTTCGCACTCATGTATTCGGCCTCTATCTTCTTATTGCGGCAAATACGTCTCGCTTCCCTCTTTAGATCCCTATAGCGGCCCCACATAGCTCGCGGTGCGCCCGACCGCAGCGTTGTCCTGTAGGCGGAATCTTTTTTCTCTGCAGCACGTATTAATTGTGGAGAGAATTCGAGGAATTTGTTGTGTATAATGGGCTGTTTTTGTTTACGCGTAAAAGCACATTTAGCGCATTTAGCTCTAAATGCTAATCTAAATGTACATAAATTTATCCATAAAAAATCCCCAAATGCAACTCAATTTATGCATTTGACCGCCCTATTCCCACAACACTGACAAAACTCAACGGCTGACTATTGCCTTTACTACTGCGCCTAATACTATGCCGCAAATTTATTTTAAATTCTCGTGTGGTGACAATTGTCAGTGTTGTTGTTATGACCTACTGAGTACCCGACAACGGCGAAACAACCTCAATATTTATACTGTTTTAGGCGCAATAATTGTGACAGTAGTCATACGATGAATTTTGTCAGTGTTGTGGGAATAGGGCGGTGAGTCTAAATGCTAAAAGCAACCCTGTGATCTTCAAAGTTTCCACGATTCGAACATGGTTTAATGAGAAAAATTGGCAACATTAATTTTTCGCGTATACAGTTGCTAGCTGCGTTTCAGTGATCGCCGATCGAGATTTCATTTATTTTAGATTATTTGGAAAAAGGAGAGTTGCGCAAATTCAACATCGATGTGATACTGATAGAAATGTGGCTCAATTTGTGATCAACTCTGTTTGCTTTATCCTATTTAATTGAGGAAATTTCAATTGACAGCACCGACAAACGAATATATACACAAGCGAATTTTTGGTTATTGTTAAAACAATTCAAGGTTTTGTATTGAATTTTTGTTTAAAACTTCCTTTTCCCTTTTCAGCAGGATTTTTTGCATATTATCTTCTCTG